TTTTTATACATTGTTATAACTTCGATTACATGGTAACAATAACTAATCTTAATTTTTTTAATATCTTTTATAAGGGAATTAAACTGAAAATAGAGAGTCTGCGCGGAAAGAGAACCAATACAATCATTCAGAGAGAATCAACTTAGAGTTAGCTATAATATCTAATGAATGTTTAATATCTATTGAGTGTGGAGCCTTTCCAGACTCGATGAAACTAAGTAAATTAAATTCACACCGCTATTAAAAACTGGCAGAACTTCTGACCCCCCGAAATTGTTAACCCTAATCTGTGCTGCCTGAAGAGTCAACAGTATGGTTTTAGAGGTCACAATTGATGCTGGTACAAAATTAATTTCCAATCTTAAATACTTGGGAAAATTCTCATGATGCTGTTGGGAGTTTTTTTTCCGATTTATCAAAGACTTTTAATTGTGTCCATTACGAAATCCTTGTCTATAGCATTCAATACTATGGTATTAGCTGAAAATCGATACAGTTAATGAAATCATAGATCGGTTTAAATGCGCACGTGGAAAGAAAGTTGGTGCACAACCGGGGATGGAACCTACGACCACAGGGATGAGACACACTCGTTGAAGCCACTTGGCCAACACTGCTCAAATATTGGCTGTCAAAATATTGCGCTAAATATTTCCTATTGCAATATCGTCGTCAGTGGGTATTTATACTCAGCTATCATGAGCAATGGCACTGCGAGGGATCTTTTGATAAGACAAAGGGGATACAAGCCTATGGTACAGCCAGCAACTGCATTTGCAGCCCATGAACACCTATTTTTTAAGATGCATTTCCGGCTTTTGAAGGAGTACACTCTGTTCTTAAAATGCTTTCTGAACCGTTCGCTAGAGCTGATTGTAAATAATGCTTAAAGGTTGCTTGAATCTTGGTTTGGCACTTCGGCCCCAGAAGACTAGTAGAAGTACAAATGAAACATTGCAGGTTTAAAAAAATTGTGTCTAGCCACAAGAATATGAGCTTTAGCATGGGTTAATTGTTCAATAAAAATTAGATTTAAACTTACTTCTTTGGACATGTTTCACATTTATAGGGTCTTATACCAAGATGTCGGAGTTTATGTTTGTTTAAAGAACTCTTTTTAGTAAATGTGACTCCACATTGATCGCAAGCACACTCAGGTTCTCCTGAATGAGTTTTCATATGGGATTTTAGTTCTCCTGAAAGTGAATTTTTTTTTAATACTATCTACACAGTGGAAAATAGCAAAGGCTCATCCATCTATGAAGAGTTTAAGGCTAGCCTCTAAGCAGATTTCGATTTGAACCAAATAGAACCAGAAAAAGATTTTCAAAATGATCAACAAGTTTAGCAAAGCTTTGTTCAACATCTAATATAATTGTTTTAAATGTAATGTACTAACACAATACTAATACATACCATTAGTAACAAACTGCTTAGCACACAAGGTACATACAAAAGTCTTCAACCCATTATGCCGTTTCATGTGCTGGCTCAAATTAGTAGTACTTACAAAGGTCTTTCCACATGTTGGGCATAGATTCAGTGTCTTCTTCATATGGATATTTAAATGAGTTCTTAATGTTGACAAATGTGTGAATGCCTTTGCACATAACACACATGTGTGGGTTTTAATTCCATTATGTTCATTTATATGTTCCATATAGCGACTTTCGAAGGGAAATGTTTTGGAGCATAGAAAACACTTATAAGGGTGGTTGTCATTATGTATTAGTTCATGACGTTTCAAATGACTTACTTTTTTAAAAACTTTACCACATTTGAAACAAGACAAAATACGCCCTCTCTCTGTATGCTTACGTTTATGTGCTGATAGTGAGTTTATAGATTTAAATGCGATATTACATACATTACATAGTAGATTTTGCTGTATCCTCTGTCTGATCGGATTATTATACAACTTTGCCTGATTGATATTACAGTCTGATGGTGAATGCTCCTTTATATGTTGTTCTAATTTAGATTTGCTCTTAAATTCTTTATTACTAACATCACATTTTACTAGAGTTGTCTCAGTGCAAATATTTATATTTTCAGCAACACTATCTGGCAATTGTTTAAGATTTAAGTCTGGCCTTTCTTGTACAATTAAGTGTTTATTAACAGCCATATTTTTGAACTGGTGATCTATGTCTTCAGCGAGCTTTTTGAATTTATAAAAGGTTACTAGACACTCATAGCAAGACTCACACATTTTCTTCGGTAATAAATCTTCTTTTTGGATCTGGAGAGAGAGAAAAAAAAAATATTTTACCGAGTTTGATTATAACAATTAGTTTATAAACTTAGTAACCAAAAATACAAAGATTAAGACTAAAAATAACCAAGCAATAAAGTAATTTACCTGTATTGAAGTGCACGACGTCAATATATTGACCAGATCCTGTTCCTCAAATATATCAAACATGTTGCTAGGATTTCTTTTTAAGCACGTACGACAGCAATCAACGTAATTATTTGGTGTTATCAAATTGTTTTCCATTGAAGAAAATAGGTATGCTCCTCAAGAGTAATTCACTAACATTCATTCAGAACCTATATAAATTAAATGGGTTTAAGGTTATAACTTTAAATCTTGTTTGTTTTAAACAAAATTTTAGTGTTAACAACTAGTATTAGATATTTACTAATAGAGTCTATGTAAGTAACGATAAAAATATTGCTTCACTACATCGTTAGTAATGGTTACCTATCAAGTTGTTGATTATATGTTGCTATTGTTGTTGACTGCACAGAATAATTACGGATTTACGGATCACTTTTTTTTTTTGGAGTTTATGGCCTGCCGCCTGTGGTGCGTTCCACTAACCAAAATCCTTAGCCATTCCACATACGACGGTTTTGGTCACGGCGAAAACGTCCATGACTATGCTATGCTCACGCACGCTAATCTAAAGAGGTGGGTCGTTGTGAACTTGAAATAATTTGCATTTTTAATTTTTTTTAAATATGACAAATAATAATATTATTATATTTAAAGCTTAAAGATTATTTGATTCAGAAAGAGAAATTGTAAAGCTATTTCGATTATATTTAAACTTAGTTGTTTGATAACTTCACCAAAATTATTTATAAAATATTCAATTATTCTTCACTTTTAACATAAATAAATTTAAGTCACAAATATCAAACTTATTGTTTATGATTACCTAACCTCCTTAAAATTCTCTATTTTCAAACTTGACATTTGTAATATTTACATGCGCCCGAACGCTCCATAATCCATTCCACTTGGTTAACGAATACATTCACAATCAAGTGGAATGGGTAATCAGGGTCGTGAGGTGTTCGTGGCCTTAGTGGGTGGTATCTAGACTACGGATCACTTTTGGTGCGTTCCACTAAGCGTTCACAACGCTCACGCTCACGACCGCTGATTTCCCCATTCCACTTGATTGTGAATGTTACTGTCGTTAACTCAAGTGGAATGGATTATGGAGCGTTTCGGGCGTTCATGTAAATATTACAAATGGCAAGTTTGAAAAAATAAATATAATTAAAATTCTCGCATAATATATATGAAAATAAAATGATAATAGAATTTCAGATGTTCATTAAACCTTCAAATTCTGGAGTTTCATAGTTGAGATCGGTTGGATTATCACTATCAAGTCGTTCTTCTCCAATAAAACTCTCTGAAGTCTCTTCATCGTATAATAAATAAATATCGTTTACTTATTGAGTTAGGTTATGCTATCCATTATTCAGGAAAAATTTATAAATAGCTGTTGAATATAAACTAAAACCAATTGTATTAAACTTATATTGCATAATTATATTGACCTCTTTCTGCACGAGCAGCTTCAGCTTCATAAACGATAGCTATTATATTCTACTACAATTTCTCTTTCAGAATCATATAATATTATTTTTCTTGTCGCCATCTTTAAGCTTTGAATATCATATTTCAAAAACATTTTCAAAAATTGCGCCAAATTATTCTCAACGTTCACTTTGACCCACCTCTTTAGTGGTGCGTTCCACTAAGCGCTCACGACGATCAAAATTCTCCTTTAGCCATTCCACATACCGACCGCGGTCGTTGTGGTCACGGCGAAAACGTCACTCATGACGTCATGACTAATGCTCACGCAAGGCTCACAACGACCCATCTACACAACGACCCACCTCTTTAGCCACAACGACCGCGGTCGGTATGTGGAATGGCTAAAGGAGAATTTTGATCGTCGTGAGCGCTTAGTGGAACGCACCATTTGTGAATAATGAAACACAGATACAGAGACAGTTCAAAAGAGAAAAAAAAGTTTTACTTCGATGAATTAAATCCCTTACAAACCTGATTATAATAATTGTTACGAATATAAATATATTAAAGAGAAAAGGATACGCGGATTTATGTGTTCTCTGTTATTTTATAATTTACTCAGACCAATAATTGTGGTATTAAGAAGAATTTTTATTAATTATAATTTATATTTTTAATTATAAAAAAAATATTGTCAAACCCTTCTTTACTTATTTTTTACTGTGTTTAATTTCTTATGTATATGCGTTATGTTTATGCCCAAGTGAATATTGAATTAAAAAGGAAATAAAAGTTACAAGTAGAATAAATATCATTGCTAAGTATCGGTTTAAGCCATAACGGCTCTTTCTATAACTTTCTTTCTTTCTCAAATGTATCACTGTAAATATATTTGCTAGTATTATTAAGTATATAATCTATTTATGCCAACATTATGCAAATTGACCCTTTGAATTTAATATTGTTTTGTATCCTATAATATACGCGAATAATAAATCTAAATATACATACTTCAAGTAAAATACAAATGGTAATGCCAATTGCCAGTGCGATTTTTAGTTGTTGTCTGTGGTTAACATTTTTTTAGTTTTCCTTGAGAGTTGAGTTGTTGAAGACAGCTTGAACTTTGAAGTTAACTTTTTGCCTAATTTCAAACGTATTTGTTTTGTTTCTTCACTTACGTTAAAAAAATCAAAAACGAGTTTTATTAGGAGCCAAAATAATTAATTTTGGTAAGTATTCATAGGTTAAGTTTATGATAATATAATGTTATTTTAAATAAAATTATTAGCAAGATTTCTGAAAATAAAATGAAATGCGCAACGGTATATATTATTTTATTTTTGTTTAATCATATCACAAATGTATTTTGGTCATAATTATTGATATTTACGATTAAAAATATTACGTAAGTGTGCTATATTATTTTAATCACCTTGAATTAGTTACTATGTTAGTATTTGTAACTACGTAGAGCACATAATGTCTTTATTTTTTCTTTACTGTTTAATGCTTCTTGTACTTTGAGATTTGAATTTAGCTTTTATGATATTTATTATTCTTAAACTATATCTTGCTTGATTCTTATCAGAATCTTACCTACACTCTTCAACATGCTAATATATAATGTATTGTCTTAAGTTTAAGTATTAAAACTGTATTATCTAAAACTTTGGAATGTGTATATTTGTGGTTGTTGTGTGATCAGACATATGAAAATAATGTAATAGTTAACACTAACATATCAATGTACCCTATTAAAATAAACACATAAATAAATAACAGCTATTAAAATATTTGTAGGGGATCTCGGCATATTATACAATTACCACTATGAGCCACTTCCCCATTCCTACAAAGTTCAGTCTCATAGATAAGTGTAAAATTATGTGCAGAGGTTAATAAAATTAATATTTATTGACATTAAACAATTTTCAAAATGAAACAACAATTCTAATAGTAATGCAATTTTTATTATAATAAAACTTAGATCTGTTTTACGCAAATATGAAAAGGTTAATAAATAATGAAAAGGTTTCGGACTCATAGAGACATTATCTTTATGCAAACAGCAAGCAAAACCTTGGAATACCCTTATTCATGCCAATATTTGACTGTATGGGTTCTTTACACAAGAACATACTTACCTATATTGGTTACAGACATTTAATGTAATGGTTTACTAAATTTACTATTTTTTAAACTTGTTTTAGTCAAGAAACATTGTATATACTAATATGTAGATTATAAATTTGAACACACAACAATAGTTAGATACAAAACTTATCTTCCAAATCTAGCCAAGTACTTGTTTTATAGTTCTTATTTGTTCCTACATATTGACAGGTATTTTTACGAATTATTTTATATATTTAGACAAAATATTATGAACAGTTTTCATTGATAATTCTGGTTAATGTGAAACAAGTAACAACTGAGCGTAAGTTGTTGATAAGCTTACTTAGAGGTCATTATGACATGCTTTGAACACAAATTTACGTCAGTTTCTTGTTGGTAGTGGTTGCGTGCAGTTGTGTGTGTGATTTCAAAGGTAAATAATGTAAATTTACATTTATATGACCTTTGTTCAGAAGTCAAACTGATCATGCTCTTATCAAGACTGTTAATTCATAGGTAATGAATATGGCCATTAATTGGATGCAGTGTGAATATAATATAAATTCTTAATTCTTATTGTTTCTGAGTTCAACTGCAATATCTTGTTGGGGTTTTAATATGATAAGCTAAGAATATATAATGCCATATTTTTATGGGTTTGATAATAGCTTATACAATGTAAGTGTGAATCAATTTGATAGATTCGGTTTGTTGAATAAATACTACTTGCTCTAAAATTGTGTTACAATCTTTTTTTCTAACTTGTATAGAGAGTCGAACTGTTTTAAAAATTTACTCATGAATATTTGCCTAATTTTTAAATATGTTAAATATTTTCTATCTTACCATCATTAATTCAATTTTGAATATCTAAGATTTTTGTCTTCCTCGAGGGATCAGTAGTTCCTGAGTGAACTCAGTTTAGAATCGAGCGTTTTTCTAACTAAAATACAATTTAATATGTCATATATTGAACAATTATTGTAAAATAATTATATTTGACTGATATCAAGGGCACCTTGATTGAGTTAATCTTGAACTAAATAAAACTAGAATATCGTATGACCTCTATCTCTAACGCCCTTTTAGTTGCCTTGATTTTAACTTTGTATTTTATCTACACTATTTTAGAGGATAATTACAAATTTGGTAATTAATTTATTTTTCTTTTAGTATTGTCTTCGTGGACGAATAGGGAAGGATAAATATAGAATTCTCGAATTCAAGACATACCTAGTACCTACCTACGTTATTGTTTGCATGGAATAAATTATTATAACGTTATTAGACTATGGGAGACTGGCGTCACTGTTTTTAATTACTTTATTTAAATGAGTTTAATTGAGTAATTTAATAAAATATAACTTATTGCTGACGCTTTTTAGGTTTTTATGAGTACGTTTCTCCATAAAAATTTTCTTATTTCGATATTTTTTGTACGTTTTAGGTGAAAAAAATCCCCTTGTAAAATAAATTTGTAATAGCCATCATGCACGTTGCTACTTTCTACCCATAGTTCTAGAAAAAAAAACTGGTATTCGATGAAACTAATATAAAAAAAGATGCGTTTATTTTTACAGCGGAACAACTACATACTA